TATATTTTTACTGGCCATGAGGGATTTCCTAATTTGGTTCAGACTATAGTTTACCCCCAACAGAGTAGAAGTGAAAAATAATTCTTTAGATGGAAGTAAAGTTTTCTTATAAAAAAGTAAAGTTACTATTCATCTAATTTGCAGCAGATTGTTTACAGAAATTAGTGTCACCAACACGAGAGACACTGAGTTTAAGTGCCTCATTAACTGTAAGGGAAACAGCAAAATGTTGTTTAAAAATCAATCAATATATTAATCAAAACTGGTTTAATTACTTAGTAATTAAATTACATTACATGTATCAGAATACATGTATGGCCTTAAACTTTAAATAAATGTGATTATACTTGGAAAAACAATGTAACAGAAGAGTAGATTCTCTCTCCCTTGTGTGCCAAGTTCTGGAACCAGGGTTCCATGTTTCTAATAGTTGACAGCAGCTCTACTTCGGTAATGAGCCACACGGAGAGGAGTGCTGAGGTAGGCAACTGGCCCAGAAAACACAAAACCTTCATATTCCATCTTGGCAGGCAAATAAGAGAGAGAGAGAGAGAGAGAGAGAGAGAGAGAGAGAGAGAGAGAGAGAGAGAAACAGCTTTGCAAATATTTTACTTAAAAGTGCATTTGTACTTTAACTGAGTACACATATCTGTTGCTCAGTTTGAGACTTGGAACATTTTTAAAGTGACCCAAAAACCTTACACAACACAGCCAATAAAACAAGGTGGCTTATTCTGTTAATACAGATATTAATACTATCATACTTGAAGATCCAATACGTGCCCTTGAGGAACAGAGGAACTGTAAAACTACAGGGTTGGAAGGGACCTCCAGGGACATCTGGCTCAACCCCCCTGCATGAATGCTATTCTTAAATCATCCTTGACCAATGCTTATTTTCCTCTTGAAAATCTTGAAGGAGATTCCCCCTGGGCTTCACTGGGCAGTCTGTTCTGCTGTCTCACTGTTTTAACAGTGAAGAAGTTTTTCCTGGGATCTAAAAATCCAATTACTGCAATTTAAAGCCAATGCTTACAGCCTGCCCTCTGCAGCAAGGGAGAACAACTGTTCTCCCTCTTCTTTATGGCAACCTTTCAAGTCACTGAAAACTGCTATCATGCTCCCCATTAATCTCCATTTTTCCAAGCTATATAAACCCCTTTCAACCTTTCCACATGCAACTTGTCTTCCAACCCCTTTAACATTTTTGTTGCCCACCTCTGATACCTTTCCAACCTCTCCACACCCTTTAAGAACGTGGAGCCCATAACTGCATGCAATGCTCTAGTTAAGGCCTAGCCAGGGCCAAGTAGAACGGTGCCACCACTTCTCATGTCTTACACCTAATACTCTTGTTGATGCAGCTCAAAATAATGTTTGCTTTGCTTCTTTTCTTTTTGACCATGTCACATTACTGTCTCATGTTGAGTCTGCAGATCCATCAATACCACCAAATCCCTGTCACCAATCCTGCTACCCAGCTAGTTATCTTCCATTCTGCAATTGTGTATTTGGCTATTCTTCCCTAGGCACAGCACTTCACATGTTTGCATTGAAAAGGAAAAAACAAAAACCCCACAACATGTTACCAAAGAGATAAGATGTCACACCATTTATACTCATGAGGGAAGCATATTAGTTTAAAAATTCAGATTTTAAAAATCAGCAGGGAAAAAGTATTGCAGAACAGATCTAAGTTTTTTTCTCGTCTAAAGCTGCATGAAAAATCAGACATCAGAGAATAACTGCTCCCAATTAAGACAGTGAAAATTATGTCCTATGTGCAAAGATTGCAAACAGTAGTAATAAGTGCACGTGTGAGAGCATAATGCACCTATTGTATATAATAAGACAATATATTAAATTATTACTAGATATATTAAATTTTGGAGCCCTACCCCTTTAGGATAGGGGCACAAAGAAAGAACTGGATAAGTGCTCTCATCTCTTGGACAGACTATTTTTTCATCACACAATATATTAATTAAATCTAATGTTGTTCAGTATTTGAAGAAAATAATGTTTACCATCCTTTCAAATGGATCTGGAGTATGTGCTGCTTTATCTAATAGCTCACTGTATTCCAGTTCTTCACAGAGACGTTGGAGAGTGTTAAGTGGCTCATTTAATTCAACAGGCATGGCCACTTTGGAGAGATCCTTTCCAATGTTGTTTCTCAGGATATTCCATAGGCTAATGTTACTTGTATTAGGACATGGTGCTGGCAAACATGTCCTCCGTTCAGAATGGCATTCCATCCCGATTTCCCCCACAGCGACTAGAAGGAAGTTCCAAAAACACATTAATCAATTCACTACATTACATAGTTTCATCTTACTCATAAACATAATAAAATACACATTTATAGAAAAATATGGCTGAAAGGGACCTAGTCTAGCCCTTGTTCAACACAATATCAATCTAGCTAAACCGGCGGGGGTGCAAAACACAGCCCACAGGCTGGACCCGGCTTGCAAGACCATTCTATCCGGCCTGTGGGGCCCCTAAAAAATTTAGAAAATTAAATATTCATCTGCCCTTGGTTCCTGTAAAAAATGACAGGAATCAAGGGCAGTAGGACCCAAGGGAAGGCTGGTGGGCTCCCACAACAGCAGCACCCACCCAGCCCCGCCCCCCCAGCCAGAAGCCCCAGCAGCAGCTTCTGGCTTGGGACAACATGGCTGCCCCACGCCAGAGCCTCAGGTAAGTGGGGGGGGACCCCAGGCAGGGAAGGAGCCTGGGGAAAAGTGGCCCAGGGAAAAGTTGAACACGGGGGG